AAACTGGGGGAAAAAGTATGAGCATTGAACAACATCCAGTAGGTACAGTGCCTCCCATATTATCAGTGTTCAGTAACAGTAACAGCTTTTACTAGGATTCGGAGTTGTAATGCATGATTCCATGACATCGCATCATGCAGTGGTGCCATGGTTGGTTGGCTTCTTTTTGTTGGACTTCTGGATTTCTTATGGTACTTCACCACTGTATTAATAGTAATGATGGAACGAGTCTTTGTGTGTGTGTCTTTTCTTTTCTTTGAGTTTATATCTTTGAGGTTGATTTCCTGGGTCACTGTTAATCAAGGTGAATTAATCTCTGAGGCTCTTGCTTCGTATGCCCGTGGGGTTTCAGAAGGGTGCTGTCATCCTCACTGTCACCACCCAAGTAAGGGTGCCAGCCTCAGGTGTCCTCATCAGCACTAGGCATGATTTTAAGCAGTTTTACAAAATGAAATGAGTAAGAGATGGAAAATTTAAGGTGCACTCATTTGCTTTTATCTGACCACTGAAACTGTTGAGATCTTTTCATGTTTTGATCTACATTTATTTTTTTCAATGTGTATTGCCTGTTTACATCTTTTGCCTATATTTCTAGTGTGGTTTCAGTGCTTTTCATTTTTTTAAGTAATTTTCATTTATTTTTAAATTTTATTGGATTATAGTTGTTTTACAGGGTTGTGTTCGTTTCTGCTGTAGAGCGATATGTTTACATGTGTTTGTGTTAGTTGCTCAGGCACGTCCGACTCTTTGTGACCCCATGGACTGTAGCCTGCCAGGCTCCTCTGTCTATGGACTTCTCCAGGCAAGAATACTGGAGTGGGTAGCCATTCCCTTCTCCAGGGGATCTTCTCGACCCAGTCAGAAAACCCAGATCGACTGCATTTTGCAGGCAGATTCTTTACCATCTGAGCCACCAGGAAAGCCGCTTAAGTTTATGTATATTTTATCCCCGTTTTCTGGATTTCCTTCCCATTTAGGTCATGAGAGAGCATCGAGCAGAGTTCCCTGTGCTGTGCAGTAGGTTCTCGTTAGTCATCTATTTCAGTGTTTTTCTTATCTAATATATTTTGTCACATTTGTAACACTTGTCATTTTTAATATTCAATTTTACTAGTTATGTAGTTAAATCATCATTCATCTAAACATTTCAAAACACAAAATAGTAAGATTTTTTAAGTAGATCAAAAATGGTTTTACAATAACATGGTTATTATTCTTAATGAAGCTTCTTCCCATAATCCCCCTGTCATTCTTTTCTTGTGTATTAGCATAACATCTGTTTAGATGTTAATTTACATGACTATGGTATTTGGATTAAAATTATGTAGACTGACCAATTAAGAATAAAATATTAATAACCCAATATAAAGAAGGCATAACAAAATAAGAGAAAATAAAAGATTAAAATTATTAATAAGCATGACATTTTACCTCACTAATAATTAAATTCATTAAAAATAAAATGACAGGCTACTATTAGTATCTTCCATCTATAAACTGGTAGGGATTAAAAACACTGTGATGATAACTGAGACTGACCCTCAGATATGCTGCCAAAGGGGAGAGAAAATTGGCTCAACTTTAAGTTTCTTGACTAGCAAGAAACTTAAAAATGTTTATAAACATTGACTTAGAAAATTCACTTATACAACTGAGGCTAGTGAGTGAGTGAAGTCACTCAATCGTGTCCGACTTGTCTGTGACCCCATGGACTGTAGCCCACCAGGCTTCTCCATCCATGGGGTTTTCCAGGCAAGAATACTGGAGTGGGTTGCCATTTCCTTCTCCAGGGGATCTTCCCCACCCAGGGAGGCAGCCTCAAAAATGGAGAAAAAATTTACATTCATAGATAAAAATAGGATTCAGTACAAATGCCCAATGATAGAGAATAATTGAATAAGTAATAACACAGTCATCTTTGGAGTGTTAAGTATTTATTATGTATGTATAAATGGTGTTTACTAAAAATTTCAATGATAGGGGAAAACACTCACAGTGTGCTTTTAAGTGGAAAAGGCATGACGCAGTGATCATAGTAAAATAAGTTGTGTGTCACGGTGTGTATATGTGTATGTTTTGTGTTTGTATGAGTCTCGTGCATATCTAGAAAGAAATGCATAAAAAATACTGAAAGTACTTATCTGGTAGGAGTATGGATGATTTTTATTTTCCTTTTTATATTTCTGCACATGTTCTGAGCTTCATTCTATTTACAAATCATTGTTTCTACAATCAGAAATGTATTTTACTGTTAAGGAAGACTAAGGATGATGAGTAAATCCCTCTCCTTTACTGGATTCATGTTCACTTTGCTCTCATTGCTTAAATACATTGAACAGAATCCTAGACAAGGAGTCAGAAGGTGTGTTTTCAGGTTATGGTGCAGAAATTTACTAGCTCTATGACACTGGGCAAATCTAACTTGTATGTGCTGTTGTTGTTTAGTTGCTAAGTTGTTTGACTCTTTGAAACCCCATGGACTGTAGCCTACCAGGTTCCTCTGTCCGTGGGATTTTCCAGCAAGAATACTGGAGTGGGTTGCCATTTCCTTCTCTAGAGGATCTTCCCAACCCAGGAATCGAACCCACATTTCCTGTGTCTCCTGCATTGGCAAGCAGATTCTTTACCACTGAGCCACCTTAACTTGTAAAATGGGGATTTCTACCTTCCCTGCATGTTCCATTGGAAGGTTGTAAGAATTCAGGTGAAAATACCAACATAGACTAAAAAACTTGGCAAACTATGATGCAAAGGATTCCTGAAACCACTGTGAGGTTTGATAATTTCTTAGGACTCACAGAACTCAAAAGCTGTTATCCCCACAGTTACAGCTGGTTACAGGAAAAAGATACAGATCAAAGTCAGCTAAAGGAAATGTCACACAGGGCAGATTCTAGAAGGGCTCAGGGCAAAGCATCTGTGTCATCTCCCTCTTGGTCTCCGTGTGTGACACCATGCAGAGTATTGCCACCCAGGAATCCTGGTCGTGGCCCAAACGTTGGTGTCCAGAGTCTCTACTGGGGCTTCATTACATAGGTATGATTGATCGATTGCCCACATGGTTGAACTCAGGTTCTAGGTCAACTGATACCGTGTTACCCAAAGCCCCCTCCCTCAGTCACATGGTTGGCCTTTCTGGCATAGCAGCCCCTACCCTAAGATTAAGTGTGGCCAGTCTCCACCCTAACAGCGTTAGTGTGGCAGCCCCTCTGTAAATAAAGACACTCCTATCAGGTATGACCCTGATTACCTACCAGAGTCAAGACAAAGGCCAGCTACCTGTTTTCAGTTCAGTTCAATCGCTCAGTCATGTCCGACTCTTTGCAACCCCATGAATCGCAGCATGCCAGGCCTCCCTGTCCATCACCAACTCCAAGAGTTTACTCAAACTCATGTCCATTGAGTTGGTGATGCCATCCAACCATCTCATCCTCTGTTGTCCCCTTCTCCTTCCGCCTTCAATCTTTCCCAGCATCAGGGTCTTTTCAGATGAGTCAGCTCTTCACATCAGGTGGCCAAAGTACTGGAGTTTCAGCTTCAACATCTGTCCTTCCAATGAACATCCGGGACTGATCTCCTTTAGGATTGACTGGTTTGATCTCCTTGCAGTCCAAGGGACTCTCAAGCGTCTTCTCCAACACCACAGTTCAAAAGCATCAATTCTTCGGCACTCAGCTGTCTTTGTAGTCCAACTCTCACATCCACACATGACTACTGGAAAAACCATAGCCTTGACTAGATGGACCTTTGTTGTCAAAGTAATGTCTCTGCTTTTTAATATGCTGTCTAGGTTGGTCGTAACTTTCCTTCCAAGGAGTAAGCATCTTTTAATTTCATTTTGGACCAGGCTAAAGTCCTTACTAGGACTTTAGGGGGTGCCAGTGGTAAAGAATCCACTTGCCAGTGCAGGAGATACAAGAGTTGAGGGTTCCATCCCTGGGCTGGGAAGATCCCCTGGAGTAGGAAATGGCAACCCACTTCAGTATGTGACCAAAAGAGATGGAAAACAATTTTATGGAGGGGTCTATTATTTATTGGGCTTCCCAGGTAGTGCTAGTGGTAAAGAACCCGTCTGCCAGAGCGGAGACATAAGAGACACAGGTTTGATCCCTGGGTCAGGAAGATCCCCTGGAGGAGGGCATGACAACCCACTCCAGTATCCTTGCCTGGAGAATCCAATGGACAGAGGAGCCTGGCGGGCTGCAGTCCATGGGGTCACAAAGAGTCGGACACGACTGAAGCAACTTAGCATGCTATTATTTACTATGTTACAACACTGAAATAAGAAAGGATAGGATTTCCACAGGTATAAGTGTTAATGCAAATACATTTTTCCCTGACCCACGGAACCTTGGAGACCACCTTTGAGAAGGGAATGTGCTAACAGGGGTGCTGCAGAGAGACATTTGCTACAGTCGTTGTTCACTGCAGAGATGAATCAGGCTGGGGAACCACTTACTGTCCCGCCGGGTATAGGAGCCTGACCCTCTTCTCAAATATGTCTCTCTGTTAGCAAATTTATCTAATGTGAGTGAGTTATAAGCCTGTTTTTTTCACAGGTTCCTCTATCTGGCACCGTCTCCCTCTGTAATGCAGCTGAGCTTGTTACGTACAGCGAGGGGGAGATGATAAAAATAAACTGGCTCCCTTCCCTTTGCAGAGTTTCAAATCTCTAGCACCATGTCAGGTTGCATCCATAAGGTTTCATAAGAGTGAGATTAGAAAAAGGAAAACCCAAGTTTATTTTCTCATGAAATTTAAAAAAAAAAATTAGAGCACTATGAAGAGAAAGAATCCTCCTCAGAACACTTGCTCGAGGACAACCGCGTGCCTTTATGGAAAAAGAACCAGTGGCAGAGACTCAGAATGAAAGTGTTCAAGTACAGTTGCCTTCAGAGGGAAGAATTTCAGCCTTTGTCTGGGGGTTTTTGGGAAACAAATAACTTGTCATAAATCGATGTTGTCAGTAAGTTGGGGTTGTATGTTCTCTCTCTTTCAAGGAAGAACTGGCCACGCAGAAGTAGTCCGGGTGGTGTACCAGCCAGAACGCATCAGCTTTGAGGAACTGCTCAAGGTCTTCTGGGAGAATCATGACCCGACCCAAGGTAGATGAGTGAGCCAGTATTTAATTATCTTACTAATTACAGCTGGGATAATTAGTGTTTGAGCTGCACGGAAGAGATGAACCTTGAAATCACACAGGAGCTCAAGAATATGATTGCAGACATTTATTGACGGAGAAGGGAGGGGCTGGGGAACAGAGGGCGAGAGAAGAAAGGCGCAGCCCCCCATCTGCGCCCCTCCCTCCTTTGCAGCTGTCAGGGGTGGGAAAATTCCCACAGAGAAAGACGCCAGACAATAGAGATTCGTTCACCTTTGATTATTGCATTATTCCTCCTTAATGCAGTCTTTTGTCTACAAAATTAAAGTGTCTTTCTAGCAGCTCCAAAGTTTTCCTGATTTATGGTTCCTTTATTTCCCTGAATTTAGCCTTTCTCATCTTTTGACGTTATCAACCTTTTTTTTTCCCCCTTTAAATGTCTGAGGGTGATTAAAAAAAAACATAAAGGTAAAATGCAATATGCAATGGGTTCACAATGTTTGGGTTATTTAAATATTTATTTTGTCTTCCTTGGAATTTATTGTATGGAGATATTAATATGTTTGGGCTGTAAACAATGGTGGCCAGGAATTTTATTTGAATGCACACACAAGTGAATATCTCATGTTGGCAAATATCATTGTAATATCCAATAATGGAGCAGTTTCCAGACTTCAACTTCTCAGCCTTACAAGCACTGCTGTGCCAGTGTAATGATCTGATATTATGAGTCTTATGAACTGAAAAGTCCTATATGTATGATATGATTTTCACAAACCCTGTTCATTTAGCAGGTTTCCCTGGTGGCTCCGACGGTAATGAATCTGCCTGCAATGCAGGAGACTGGGGTTCAATCCTCGGGTCAGAAATGGCTATCCACTCCAGTACTCTTACCTGGAGAATTCATAACCTACATCTAACTAGGCTGAGAATTCTGTTGGCTTTAACAAAATATTTGGGCTTCCCAGCTGGCACAGAGGTGAAAGAACTTGATTGCTGATGCAAGAGACGTAGGTTCAATTCCTGGTTAGGAAAATCCCCTGGAGAAGGAAATGGCAAGTCTCTCCAGTATTCTTGCCTAGAAAATCCCATGGACAGAGGAACATGGCAGGCTACAGTCCTTGGAGTCGCAAAAGATAGCAATTGGTCTATTTAATGAAACTATTTTCCCTTTGGTGTCAGGTCTTGTGGGAGTGGGTGTGTGGTGTTGGCTCTCTCTTGACGAATGGATGTGTTTTTCCAAACTTGCATTGTGTTTTGGGGTGGAACCTTACCGAGACCCCAGCAACCCCAGCGCCAGGTTGGGAAGTCCTGAGTCCTGAGGCCAGGGTGATTTCCCAGAGGGCAAAGGTCAGAGCTAAGGCAAGAACAGCAACATAATCAGCAAAGGAGCCAGGGTCAGGCAGGTCCAGGATGCAGGCTCATCCAACAGGGTGACTGAAGGTGGGAATGAGGCCAGGAGCAGGTTCTCCATGACTGTCAAGTCTGGTTGATGTGGGGGGATGAGTCCCTGGTGGGGAAGCAGTGAGATGGGGGGCAGGGGAGGTATAGGACTGTTAAGGGCAAGAGTACCGTCATCAGAAGGTTCAGATGCCACCTTGGTTTGGACTGCACACTGTCACATCATATAAGAATGGCAGGCCTGATGGCTTAGACTTCTGTGGCTCAATGAGAAACTGATTGGTGAGCTCCATAAAGAAGGGGGGTGATGGCCAGGATCATTCTGAGGAGCCTTTGATTCAGAGGCAGCAGCCGTTCAGCCTCTTGCTCAAAGCCAAGGGTCAAGGCGGGATACTGGGGGCTCCAGATTTCTCAGTGGAGACACCTATCAGGAGCCCAGGTGAGCCTGAAGTCATGGAGCAGACAGGCTCTTTGCAGGCCCACAAGGCTGGGTCTGTGGCCTTGGCCTGGCCACCCGTGTCCTGATAGAACCACCTTGCTCTTGGCCTCTGCAACATTTTAAAGAAGGTGAAGTTTTCCATCTATTTTTCTCTCCTTACTCCTCTTAATGTCTTACCCATTTTATCATTTTCGGGGGACAGGGATGTGAACCATTTTTAATGGTCTTCATTGAATTTGTTACAATATTGTTTCCATTATATGTTTGGGTTTTTTGGCCCCGAGGCATGTGGGATCTTGGCTCCTCGAACAGGGACTGAACCCGCAGCCCCTGAATTGAAAGGTGAAGTCTTAACCACTGGACCACCAGGGAAGTCCCTACCCATTCTGTCACATCTTTACTAGTGCACCTCAGATCACTAGTTCTCGCCCCTGAATCTCAGGGGAATTCCACCTGCAAAAGCATTTTATTAGAACCTGTTGTTCTCTCCATCCCATGGATCAGATTGGTCTCAATGTTGGAAATTCTTGGTTTGCTATCGGTATGAATTTGCTAGGGCTGTCGTCATAAAGTATCACAGACTGGGTGGCTTAACCAACAGAAATGAACTTTCTCATAGTCCTGGAGGCTCAGAGCCTAAGTTGAAGGCACTGGCAGGGTTGGCTTCCTGTGGCTCATCAGTGGCTGTCTTCTCATCTAGCCTTCCCTCTGTGTGTGTCTGTGTCCTAATCTCTTTGTATAAGATCACCAGTCAGATTGGATTAGGGCCCACCCAGATGACCTCCTTTAATCTTAATCAGTAAAGACTCTGTCTCCAGATTCAGTTGCACTCAGTACTGGAGATTAGAGCTTCATCATGTAAATTATGAGAGGAGGTGGGATGCACTTTAGCCCATAGAACTGTCTGATAATGCAATATTTAATAGGTTGATGTGCTAGTTTTCAGAGGTAGTTTTTTTTCTGACAGGGTGTTCATAGGCTTATAAACTGAAAGAGATTTTAGAGATCATCTGTTCCAACCTCAGCTTCAATTCTATGAGTCAGAAGATGAAATTGCTCATGGTGGGGGTCACAGACAATGGGATTGGAGTATTGAGTGACCTATTCTTACACTAATATTTTGGACAAATTATGCATGTAGGAGGAGAGTTTTTCTACTCTTGTGTATACTTGTTTCTGCTTAGAGTAGTGCTTCATGCAATGTACACAGTCATGCATTGAATCCCAAGCTATCTGATCTTCCCGCATTTATATTAGAATTATTTTTTAGATAGTTCAGTGTAATAGGTTATGGTAAGAATCTTTTTCTGCCTTGTAGGGTTTCCTATGACCCTTCTGGAAATAGGACCAATGGAATGATCATGTGATCTAGGCCTGCTCAGTCACAGTATATTTTCCTGTTGTCACCAATGTTTGATCCAAACAATAGGCATGTGTCTCCAGCAGAACTGACTAGAGTCTTTCCCTGGGAGTGTTGTATGTTGTCACTTGGCTGTGGGTGTGGGTTATTCCCCACACAGAGCACCTGACCATGTGGCCCCCAAACTTCCCCAGGCTCCAGACACCATGGCAGAGCCTGACATTTAGGTCTGGGTTCTGGCCCCAGTTGGACCTCTTCCTAACCTCGAAACCTTGGCCAAGACACTTAATCTGAAACTCTGTTTTCTCATCTACAGAAAGGGGATAATAATGTCTATCCTGCCCACTTCTTGGGTTGTCATAGGAATGAAATGAAACCATGTGAAAATCACTTGAAAGAACCATGGTCAAACACCAGGGTCAAGAACCCTGGAGGTGGTGGCATTGTAGCTGTGTCCTTCTCAACACAATACATTGTCACCAGAGTTATTTATTTATTTTTGTTTCTTTGATTTCTGTGGGGAACTATTTACCGTCTGCCTATTACAGTGTGGGTTTTCTACCACGGAAGTTCTTTTTTACTTCCCGCTAGTTGGGAAGATTTCAGCGTTGCTTGCGTTCTCATTTTGTGATGAAACTGCTGGTGGTGATAGTGATGAGGTTGATAGACAGAAAGCTTATCTTTGCTGCTGATACAGCCCTCAGAAGAACCAGATTAAGTCCCAGCCTCTCACACGTGCTCTGCATCCCCGCACCTCGTATGCTCTGTGCATGAATTCCATCACTTTGGCCCTCTTGTTCCTGCATAAGAATGCAAGTCCCAGACCCTGAACCTTGGGCCAAACCACAAACACACAAGTACACAATGTGGAGACTCAGCTTTGCCTTACTTGATTGCATAAACCTGACTTCTCTATTCCAACCTTTTCCCCCTCCATCATGAGGGAAAGGACAGCACATTTATGAAGTACCCCTTATGGCCCAGTCTCAGTGCTAGATGCTTTATACCTGTTATTTCACTTAACGCCTACCATAACCTGATGAACTGGGGTTTACTGTCTTCACTTAACAGAAGAGGAGAAGTGAAATTCCAAAATACTGACAATCTTGCTTGATGTTGTTGGCAGTATTTGAACACAGCTCTGACCAAAGCCCAGATCTGTTTTCTTTCTCCTATACTGGAGGGATCCATGCTTCTTGATGAGGAGGACCTCTTCTAAGGATAAGCATTGTTCAGGATCCCGCATGTAACATAGCTGTGCCCCTAACAACAAGCAAATATGTGAAGATGCCACTACAAATTTAGTCATGCTATAAATTGAATGCCCCTTTTATTAACCAGCACCATGTCAGCTACCTCTGCAAAATGGAAATGCTCCCATGCATAATGTGCTCGACAGTCACTAGGCCACACCTGCTGCCCAGTTGGATGTCTGGACCTTTGGTAGTAGCTCCAGACCTCCCCAAGGACTAGGGCACCGATGGGGAACTCCTCCGGTGCACTACCAAGGGATCAGTGGCCTCTCCACAGAGGCCTCCTGGCTGAGACTGTGAACTGAACCAATACCAGTGTCCCCATTTCTAAAGGATTGGAATTTCAGCTGGGTGTGCAGCCACCAACAAAAACTAAATTTCCCAGACTCTCAATGACTAAATATAGCCACATGTCCAAAACCAGACTAGAAGAGCATGAGGACAAGTGATAGTGTGAACTTCCGGGTTAAGTGCACTCAGAGGAAGGACAGATGACGTCAACTTCCCAGTCTGGTGCACTTAAAGGAAAGGCAGATGATGTCAGCTTCTGG